CAAGTCAACTACAAGTAGTTGCTGGGGGTCTTTGAACTATTTTTTTTTTTTAGCTTTTGTGCAGTTGACATATTACATAAAAACATGAACATGAATAAAAACAAAAGCAAAAGACTATTTTCAGAAAAAAAGGATCTTGCATTCTGCGGACCTGAATGATACAGCAAGAAAATTATTTTCATTATGTATTCACACATTGCTTTAAAAAATTGATTGCTTGATCACAACATTTGTATATGTATATATTTGTATATACCTTCACTGAAAAAATAACTAGTGAAAGTCACTGGGAAGACTAGTAAACTTACTGTCCATACAATCACTACCTCGAAAGTAGTTTTAGTAGGTATTGGGTAGATTTACTAGATGATATTAGTAAATCTAAGAATTTATAAGTAACTTTCACGATGAATCTCAGGGCGGATCCAGAAATTGTTCAAAGGGGGGGTTGAAGTATTTTTCATAAAAATAAAAATATATTGCTAACTAGACAATTCACAGGTGCCAATAGTAGCGAGTGTCCGAAGCCAAGATTTTCTCGATTCGCACTTTACCAGCAGTGAATTTGGGCGTCTTGAGATTAATGCGCTCAGGACAACAAATACCCGTGGAGCTCAGTACATCTCATAATCTGCACACAAAAAAGCGTTCGATTTGCTTTATATTTTTCATAATGTTGAAAGCACATGCATCTTTCTAATATTCATTCCCAGCACAACAGAATTGTAAAGTATATCAGAATTCGGAAATTTATAATTATTCCACATCAACACGACAAACATGAACAATTTGTAAATAAATCAAATTATACGGAAACACATTTCACACACAAACTATGATGCCATGTATAAACAAGGGATTGTCTATCGTGTCTAGTTATGCATCATTAATTACTGTCACATTCAATCAAATTTATTTATGAATGTATAAATAATGTAAAGATAAAAATGTCTAAAATTTGGGCAAAAAAAACTCTTTCTCTCTCTCTCTCTCTCTCTCTCTCTCTCTTTTTGAAAATCTTTTTTTTTTATCATATATACATATTTGCCGAATATGTCTTCAACATTTTAGCAGAGACAGTGATAGTTTCAGGAATACAGCTTATGAGAGAAAATAGCTGTTGATCGTTTAATTTCGCTAAGTCATCAATATTTTACCATTTCTTGACGACTTAAAAAAAAACGGGGGCTAAAGGCTTCTTGACCACCTCTGACAAAACAACCTCGACTGTGTTCTACATGTGACCAAGAGACCTCTCTTTGAATGTCATGATCGGTTAAACTCGTTTATATATTTTTAATTGTAGGGAAGATTTATTCATCAAATAAAAATCATATAGGTAAACAAAAAGCAATTCTTTTCTAACACAATATGAGACTACAAGTACAATGTAACTAGAATTCATGTTTATTTTTATAACACATTTTTTCATCATAGATGAGTATTAGGAAAAGTTGTTGCCATGAGTAATAAGTATCATAGACAAAATAACTAAAAGAAAACTGTGACATATGTTCTAGAATCAATCAGATAGTGCGTTGTATTAGCATATTATAATGAAGTAAAAGATAGCGATATAAAAAAAAAATATAGAAGTTAAAGAGATAAAATTTACCCTGTCTTTCAAAAAGTATAATAAAGAAATGAAGTGGCTACAATTTTTCTGAATTTTTTTAAATGTCCAATGAGGAATTATATTCCCAAAAAGTAAGAAAAGAGTTTCCAAGGCAATTGAACACTCCATTATTTCAGTTTGTTAATTAACATGTTCATTAACGTAAAAACTATCAGAACTGTGAAAACTTGACTATGTAATTCATATTTCAATATGACTGTACCTCGATTTATATTAATTGAGAAATTCAATGTATTATAAGCTCATGAAAAGATGTACACATTTGACTTTTATTTATACCCCCCCCCCCACAAAAAAAACAAAGAAAATCCTGTACGTATGACTTCTCGCTCTCAATTTTCACACAAATGCATAAAATGAAGGTAAAATAGCATATCTTGTATCGATTAAAATGCAACCAAAACATTTACGGTGTCTTTGAATAAAAATGTCCATGCTAAATTGACATAAAAAAATATTACTCACCTTCAATAACCTATTTTCAACCTGTTTTCCCGAGGGTATTTATTTAATCTTATTTTATTTTCTTCCTTATAATAACGTTGGTATTCTATTATGGCAGAGATATACAATAATGTCTCGCTTATACTGTACTCTCTAACTGTTAGGAATAATTTATATTTCACGTGAAAGGAACGCCATACATTTTTCAGTAAAAATACATAACGCGGCGTTAGTCGTTTAATTTCTTTAAAGTTTCACATTTTGTGAATAGTGTACAAATTATAAAATTAAGTATATGGAATACTTTAATGGGAAATAAAGACAAACGAAGTGTTAAGTTATTTGTTTTCAGAAATTATATTGAAAAATAATAACGCCATTGTGACCTCATTGTTACCCCTGCAGTGTTTATCGTGTGATTTTAAACTTATTTGACAACCGTATGAATTAGGTTTAATAAAAATAAATCCACAAGAAACTGATGCAGTAACTGGCATAATGCGCCGTTGCTTTATTCTTTAGTTTTTATGGAAAGTTGCACGGAATACCCGATTTCGCGGATTCAACGATACCGTAATATCGGGTATTATACGCGATTTCACGGATAATACCCGATTTCGAGTATTCTCTCCGACCTGTTTAATTGTTATTGTTCAAGCGTGAACACTACTAATGCATAAGGATTTAATTTTGATTATTTCGTTGTTAACAAGAATTTTTATTGACTATTTGTAGAATAGCATTACTTAAACCTAAGAAGTAGAACTTAATGTCCGTGAAACCTTTAAGTAACAAAGAAATATTCTGCCACACAAAATATCTTCTTCTGTAGTAAATTATATTATCCTGCCTTCGCAGTAAACTTTTCAAATATGAGCTATAAGTTCATAAATTCTAGTTTTTGCTCATTTTTGACCCCTTTTGGTACATTACCTTGCGTATGACGCCGCGACTTAATATTTATCTAGAATAACTTATCTTATACTGCATGTTATTTTCTTTGAAATATTTGAAAAGTTCATATATAATTCATTATATATAATTCATAAAATCATTATTTCAGATGCTATGCCGTCATATGGAGATTATTGCATTAGTTGGTCAATGAAACTAGAATCTTCTCTGGGTAATGAACTAACAGACAGTGTGTGCCAGTTCTGGAAGAGGATTGATAGGCCGGCAGAAAATATGCCCTGGTTCCAAATCATTCCGCATAAAAGACAGGGTTACATGCCTCCACAAACAACAAGAGAGATTAATAGAGAGATGGAATTTCTGGGCGGGAGCATGACTTCGCCATCTAATTTTGTTAAGCACTGGGAAACAACAGCTTCTGTTGAATTCCAACAAGACAAGTCTCTGTTGCTAATTGAAGATTCAACAATGAAAATTGAAATCAGTATATCACCTGATTTCTTGCACGATTATGTTATAGTACACTTACAACGTAGTTTCGTGGCCTTTTACTTCAATGTGAAATATAGTCCAAAAATATTCTTCTCTGCTAGGCACCCGTTCATGTTTTGTAATCTAACAGAAACAAGACTATCAGCCAGTGACCTTCCATTTCAAAAATTTGGCTGGTTGAGCTGTTTTTGTCTAAAGCTAAAAAAAGAAAACCCATTGATACCCAGGATACTTTGGTATATTCAGTATGTAGGTCTATTTGTTGCGTACACTGATATGACAATTGAAGATTCTCAGCAAATGATAGAGGTTACTTTTTCTAGTTACGAAACAGCTTATGCATGGGAATCTCTTTGCTCACAGGGTTTTAAAGTTGTAGACCATTTGACACAAGCTGTTGTAAAGGAAATCACCAGTCTCCAAATCACTGCAGAAGTGTTTCACATAATGGTTGACCTAGTTGCAGAAAAGCCATTCTTTCATTTCTTTGGAGATTTGTTGGAAGCAATGGAAATGACAAAATATACTAAAAATGAAAATAAGAATGACATACCTGGTAATTTAACTTTGGTTAGACGCGCCTTGCTCACTCCAACGAAACGTGTTTTCCTGCCAAAGGAATTATTGAGTCAAAATAGAATTTTACGCCAGTATAACGAAGACTATTTTATCCGGCTTGTTTATCGTGATGAGGATTATCAAAAACTCAATGAGACTCAGTCTGGAACTTTAAACAACGTATTGGCGGACATGAAGCGAACTTTTATTGACGGATTATTATACAAAGTCGCCGTTATGAATATTTGGGATGTTCCAACAGTCAGCTTCGAGAACACAGCTTTTGGTTCTTCAGCTCGTATGATGGAATTACGGCAGACAGCATCAGACAACGAGCTGGAGATCTATCGAAAGAGAGATGTGTTGCCTCGTATGTGTCTCGCTTTGGACTCTGTTTTTCAGCGTCTCAACATACGTTGAACGTTGGGATAGATCAAGGAGAGTTACACTATGAAGCAGATATAAAAAGAAATGGGTATTGCTTCACCGACGGTATTGGAAAGATATCACGGAACCTTGCTTTAAAGGTAATAAAAGAATTTCAATGGAAAAAAAGGGAAGAATGGGTTTTAATCGAACTTTTTTAAAGAGAATTAATATACTAGTATTTAGCTATTTTTAACCTAGGTTGCGAAGAAAATGAATATGAAATACATACCGTCTGCTTTCCAAATTCGTTATGGTGGTTGTAAAGGCGTTGTTGCATTAGATCCGTCTCTTGGAGAGATTAATGTACTCGTTATAAGAGAGAGCATGAGAAAATTTCAAAGTGGATCGACAAGTCTAGAGGTGTTACAGGTTACTCGTCCAGGTATTTCTTATACATGTACATCTGATTCAATAATAAAATACTTAAGGAATTTATCTCATCTGAGCCAAAAGCTCAGGTGATTTTTTCTAATCACATTTTGTCCGTCGTCCATCTGTAAACTTTTCACATTCTCGACTTCTTCTCAAGAACCACTGAACCAATTTTAACCAAACTTAGTACATAGCATCCTTGGATAAATGGGAGTTTAAATTGTTAAAATGAAGGCCAGGTCCATTTAAACGGGGAGATAATCAAGAAAAGACAAAAATAGGGTGGGGTCATGAAAATATTCTTATCAAGAACCACTGGGCCAGAAAAGCAGATATTTAAATCGAAGCATCCTTAGGTTTTGTAAATTCTAAATTATTAACTTAATGACCCCCCAGGGGTAGGGTGATGGGAATTCAAGTTTGTCTGGGTTGTATTACAGTAACTATAAACTGAAACAGACAAAAGTAAAAATTTCAATCATTTCATTTAGTATTTGCATTTGTCTTTAATTGCAACTTTTGAAAAATATAAGCGTCTTAAAACCCCAGTCACATTTCCAAAAACGACCAACGGCCGACGGGTTTTGAAGCAAAAATGGGATTCTTCGGTTGACAGTCGTCAGTTCATCAGCCGTTGTCTTTGGCCGATTTTGGCCTATTTTTTTGTCGGCCGACCAATTTTGTGTCCATCGGTTCAAGTTATAATTTTTCATGCGTCGGTGGCCGAATTCTTCAAGTGCAGTTATCCGTCGACCAACCTTCGATCATCGTCCGACCATCGGCTGTCAGTTTATTAAGTCGGTCGTCCGTCGTTGGACAATAAGGGTGTTGAAAATTTCGGCCGAAGGTTAAAATCAAACTGTAGCTCAGAGCTCGATGATCGGGCGACGATTGGCCGACTTGTGAATATTAAACCTATTAAAGATACATAACACAAACACAATTTTGATGCATGGATTGATATAAATTTTTTGAACGGAGATAACATAAACAATTAATCCGTAAGATATAAAGAAATCTTAAGTGTTCTTTGCTGCTTAGATATGCATCATTTGTCATTTTTAAGCGATTGCATACAAATTTTACACACATTTTCAACATTGAGTCACAATTTTATAAGATTCTGCCACTTTGCCTTGCAAACATTACCTCACGTCACCTATCTGAATATAAATATGAAAAAAATATTGCTGATTTCTAAGAAAAAAAGATTTTTGTGCTATTTATCCAAGTCATCGGTCTCCCTAGGAAATAATGTGACTGCTCCGTGTCGCCCGATACTGTGTCGGCCGATCCTGTTCTTTCAGCCGACAAGACCAGAAAAATTTAGTCGCCCGACCATCGGCTTAAATGTGACCTAGGCATAAGTTTTGTCTATCAAATACACTTTACATTTACTAGCCTCTTCCAAACTACGTTTAAGCTCACCTGAGCCGAAGGCTCAAGTGAGCTTTTCTGATCACATTTTGTCCGGCGTCCGTCTGTCCGTCTGTCTGTCTGTCTGTAAACTTTAAACATTTTCGTCTTCTTCTCAAGAACCGCTGGGCCAATTTCAACCAAACTTGCCGCAAAGCATCCTTGTATAAAGTGGATTCAATTTTGTGCAAATAAAGGGCCACGCCCTCATTCAAGGGGAGATAATTGAGAATTAGTGACAATTAGGTGGTATGTTTTAAAAATTTTCTTCTCAAGAACCACTGTGCCAGGAAAGATGAAATTTATGGGGAAACATTCTCAGGTAGTGTAGATTCAAGTTTGTTCAAATCATGTCCCCCGGGGAAGGGCGGGGCCACCATGGTCGACCAAGGTTTTATATAGAAATATATAGGAAAATTCTTTAAAAATCTTCTTCTCAAGAACAGAAAAGCCATAATTGCTCATATTTATATGGAAGCATCCCCAGGTAGAGCAGATTCAAGTTTGTTCAAATCATGACCCCCGGGGGTAGGGAGGGGCCACAATGGCCGACCAAAATTTTATATAGAAATATATAGGAAAATTCTTTAAAAATCTTCTTCTAAAGAACAGCAAAGCCATAATTGCTCATATTTATATGGATGCTTCCCCATGTAGTGTAGATTTAAGTTTGTTCAAATCATGACCCCCGGGGGTAGGGCGGGGCCACAATGGCCGACCAATTTTTAGGTCACCTGAGTAAACTCAGGTGACCTATTGCTATCTGTTTTCGTCCAGTCGTCGTTCGTCGTGCGTCGTTCGTCGTGCGTTAACATTTGAACATTTTCAGCTTCTTCTCTGCAACCACTTAACCAATTTCAACCAAATTTGGCACAAAGCATCTATGGGTGAAGGGGAACAAAAATTGTGAATTTCATGATCCCTCCCCCATGGGGCCTGAGGGGTGGGGCCAAAACCACTAAAATTAATGCAATCTTTAAAAATCTTCTTCTTTACTCATGGACATCAAGCAATCAAACTGTTTGCATGATTGTAATAGCAATGAGTCCTCT